TGAAACCTGCCCTCTCCTGTGCCATCCTCATAAGCTCTGCTATGCTCAAGTCCATTGTTATAGACACGTCAATCCACTTCCTGGAGGTCTTCCTCTCTTTCTCTTGTAGAGTGACCAAGGATGACAGAAGAATAACTGATGCCTTTGAGCTGTGGTGCTGGAGAAGAGTACTGAATATACATACCAGGGGCTATCAGGAGAACTAACATGTCTGTTTTAAAGATGGTAAAACCAATCTGCTTCTGGGAGGCAGATCAGCTGGCCCAGTGCACAGAAAACGATGCTACCAAGCCAAAGGTGGGTGACTTTTAATCCTCGGCCCTCAGACCTGACTTTCACTGTTTTTGTTCAGACATTCCTCTAGGTCGTATAGCCCTGGTGTACAAGTTACCTTAGCGCAGTCACTTTTGGTTGCTGTGAGGCTGAACACTGTGACACTGATGTGTCAAATGTGTTAATGGTTGGCTACCCAATGCGGACAGAGAGTGGAGTGGAGCCCCCCCGATTAAACATGCTTGGAAGGAGGAGTGGCATCCACTTCCATAATAGCTTGCCTCTGGAAACCCTATGAACCTGGAGAGAGGATGAAAGGCAACCAAGCATCGAAGACTCTCCTTCATAGGGTCGCTATGAGTCACCTGTGACTCGACGGCACTTAACAACAACAACATCTGACATACTCGGGCATGTAGCCAAGAGGGACCAGTCTTTGGAGAAGAAAATCATGTTTGAAAGGGTCTAGGGACAGCACAAGGAAGAAGACCCCCGATGAAATGCATTGACACGATAATTGGGGTAAAGAGGGTAGGTAGATGTGTCAGAGACAGTGAGACTGGCTCAAGATAAAGCACGGTTCAGAGCTATAGTGCATAAGGCTGCTGTAAGTCGCAAGCAACTCGAGGGCACATAACAACAGTCAATACACTGCTTTGGAGTAAGAACCCATACCAACCCTCTAATAATAGGGTTTTGAGACTATATTTTACATGGGCAAAGCTTCTGGTGGATTCATATTGTCAGAGAAGTTAGACCTTTGGGCTAGCAACCCAACTCCCTACAGACTACAGAGTTCCCTAAGTGGTCAATTGCTTTTGTTTGTGCTGTGCCATCATGTTGGAACCAATGTATAGCTGACCTGTGGACCAGCTGGTGGATTCTTACCACTACCTAGTGGTAAGAAGCCAATGTTCCCCTAACTAGTCAACACATAGCATAAATTACAGGTTCAAAAATAATCTGAAGCTAGTGTAAAGTGCTGTAGTCATTACTACTAATGCAAGAATTATTTGAAACATATGGTTGTATACAATCTGGAAGGAAAATATAAAACCTCATTTCAAATGAAAATTACCTTGGCCCTGCGGCCAACTAGCGACTGACTATTCCCTTCAGAAACTCCAGACAGACAGCCAGCCTGCACGCTCCCTGCTTCAGCTGGTGGAGGTTCCAGTGTGACAAAGAGGAAGCCCCTCTGACAACCTTTCTGCCTCCTATCTTGACTACTTAGGGACTTCCCATAACTCTGGAAATCAAAAACAAAGAATAGTTCCTCTTTCAAAAACAGGAAGCTTTCTTTGGTGGCTTTATGGTAAGGAGTTGCACTGCCAAAACAAATGCTCAAGGTTTGAATCCACCAGCAGCTCCAAGGCAGATGGATGGGCAGTCTCCTCCCATAAGGGTTTGCTGTCTCTGAAAAACCACTGGAGAGTTGGCTATGGGTCAGTTCTGGTTCCACAGTACACAACAACCACTACCTCCAAAAACAGTTAAGGTCCGAATCTCAAAGACAGTGCGGGCTCAATATGTACAGGCTTTTTTTTTCAAAAAACAACAACAAAAAACTTTCTTGGTGTAATAAGGGAGTAGGAAAGAAGGGGAAATGAACTATTTTTTTTTATTTACATGATATCTTTTTTATTTCTGTGCTTTGCTATTCTAACACTCCTTTTACTAATGAAGGAGAACTGGCCTCTACTTTTTAAATATACAATATACATTATAAGTGTAGAGGAAATTCCAAAATTAATGGATTCACTTATAAAACTTTCTTTTTTCTGGTGAAGAAATCTTCATTTTCATTTAAAGTTCTACATAGAAAACTTACCTTTCTTCAAATCAGTTATTGGGAAGCACTTAAGTCACACTTGTCTGTGAACAGGCAATGACTTGTGACATTACTAGACAGACCATCTCCCCAAAGGGTTTACTTTGCTTAAAATTTACCAGTTATGGAACTGTGTGGGTAATATAAAGTTTGTCTTGGCTGCTCTTAAACAAATTTAACAAGATAAGAGTTTGATTCAGAAGTTATAGTCCAAGGTCTAACCATGTTAGATTTATCTATACCTTCTACATTTTAACTATAATAGTGGAGGAGCATTCAGATATGAAAAAGAAACTAAACATATAGTGAGATTAGAAATACAGGGCCAAAAAATAATAACATCAAGGCAAAGATCCATTGGTCCAAGGCAAAGAGTGCAGAGGGGTGCCTGAAACACAATCTGAACTTGGAAAGTCAGTCAGTCTCTATAAAAGAGCATTAATTCTTATGCCTGTAACATCAGACGCTTACAGCATGGCTTTAGAAGAGCAAGGGTTACTTTTTTCAGGGTTTTACAAAGGAACACATCTCCCTGAACTAATCTGATAGAAAATCATAATCCATTTGTTCCCATTAGCCTTTGACTAAATACTGAAGCTCATTATCGCTCTTTAGGGTTCTCACAGTAACATGGAATTTTTAAAGAACACGTTTAGTTCCACCACTTTATGCAAGACTGCGCAGTTTCAAAGCATCAGAGAGTAAGAAGTTAGCACCAAATTGACAATACAGTCTACATACATTTTCTTTACATGGCTAATTAAGACCTTTCGACTAGAGACATGGCTCTAATAAGGACAAATATGCGCACTGAGAGTATGTCATCCTTAAGTCGCCCCTCCTGTCCCACTGCTGCTGCTTTAACTGCACTTTCAGATGCTACTGGCCAGTCCCAGGCTTTCTGTCATCCATCCCTCTTTAGTATTTAAACAATTTCCTCAGCACAATTGTAATCTTCTTGTCAGCTCATATAAATTCAGAGACATGAAACATGTGAATGGCACCACTTTAAACTAAAGGGAAGCCCAACAGGGTTAGCCAGCCAATTGGGTTAATTTACCTACACATTTTAGTTGCATTTTTAGAAGAACTACTTGATGGTGTTTTGGAGGAGAAGTTTATATAGCAATTGAGGTAACCATTTAATCATTTCTACATCATTTGTTCCACGATATTGATTACATTTTTCATAGTGTGTCAATATTCTCATGAATGCCTCTTTTTTTTTTTAACTGTTTTTACCAATCTAGCTTTCCATCTTTGTTTTAGGGTAAAATGTTGAGTGTTTCTCTCCTAGATTTGGTTATTTAAAGGTTAGGTGGATATTTTACAGAAAGCTGAAAAGGAGAGGGTGGTCCTGTCTAATGAAAGAGCGTTGCCCCACTTACACCCTTCCTGGTTTCCTACCCCCATAGGGGAAAGGGAAGTGGGCAGGGAGAGCTGAATCCATTTCCTGAAGTGTGGGTGAACTCTCTGGGGTGAGAGTTGAGGGGAGTCTCAGAAAAGCAGAAACACTGGAGGCTGCAAAAGAAAGGTGTGTACACAAGTGGCATGAAGATTAACCAAAAAGGGTCCAAATTTACTTCCACAGGCTCAATTTCAGCTTCAATAAATTCACTGGGGCTGAAAACCGGTCTTCAAAGTCACAAATCCTATGATAATCGAGCCACCTCCATTCTGTAGCAACAGCTCATCTTCAATTAAAATTCTGTTTACTTTCTGAGCATGAAAGCTTAAGAGCATTCCTTTCTTGATTACAACTCAATGTCAAAACATACAACTTGTATTTTAAAAGTCTGTGTGTATTTTAAAAATAACATGGAAATATTACTTCAGTCATGATGCATTAAAACCAAAGCAACAACAAAACCCTGAATGGAGATTTACATTGAAAGGTTTCTAATATGCTTCCTACACTTCTTGGATTCCAGCAGGTACTTTCACCCTAGAGGCTAACAGGAGGAAAGAGGCATGTCCAAAGTGAGCCTGGTGACTGATGAACAGGGGGAAATATGGGCTTCAAGTTCTGACTCTTGTCACCCAATGGCTCTAGAACCCTGGACAAATCCTTCTAACTTCCATCTTTACAGGAACAGCCTAAGATGTTTTAAACCCTCTGGGTTTAAGCTGACCATGAACTGATCAAATGTTCTAAGTTCTACCTGAAAATTATCTGAAGGACATTACAAAAGGCTTACCAAAGTCCATGTTTGTCCTAGACTGTCATCACTGTGCTACCACAAAGGCAGACCTGTTGCATCACTAAATAGGATCTTTCTGCTCCTACATGCGTCAAGAGATGGCTTAATTCCCCCCCCCCCTTTTTTTTGTTTTAAGTGAAAAACTGTATCACGTCACTTAGGATCCAGAGTTCTCCAGTTTTGCCTTTACATACAAACAGGATCCACCTGGCCTAATGGGGTCATAAGAATTAACGCCAAGGTGCTGGTTTGCTGTCAGAACCCTTTCATCAGGCCAGGGGTGGATGTTTTGCGTTTATATTCAAGCTGCATCTCAAAGCCTTGTCCGCGCCACATTAGGGAGCTGGCTGGTACCTGCACTGCTTATTACAACTCTCCAGGCTGATTAACCCTGAAGCAGCCAAAGAGTAGAGTGTAAACCATGCATTCAAACCTACATCCTGTGACTTAAGCTTCAGAGCAATCAAGTTATCAGCCATGGGGATTTCACCTCAGACCTTAAGTGGTCACATTTACTCTGACACTGAAAAAACGAAAGCGCCTTCGCCACAGCACCTGGTGGCAGGGGGACGCCCTTCATCTCCCCACCCTGTAACATTGCAGTCCTAAGTCTTTCAACGGTTCTGCCATTTCTCCTGGAAAAAACACCCTCCACGCAACCACCGGGAGGGAGTTCTGGTACAGAGTGCACTCACCTCCTTGATCTTCGCCCTCTTGTCGCGGATGGCAAGGTCCGCGGGCTCCGGGCCCTCTGCCCCGATGGGAGGCACAAAGTTCAGCTGGGGCAGCCCCCCGGCAGCCGTCTTGTCGTGCAGCTGATCCTGGGCTACCTTCTCTTTCTCCAGCAAGATGTCTCTTTGGATCTCCTCTGGCAGCTTCTGCAGGGTCTCCTTGGCTTCCCGGAGAGCCCGCTCGTGGTTCTCGCGGATCCTGGCCAAGTTGTCCTCCAGGGCGTCCGCCGGGTCTCCGGGCGCGCCCTCCTCGCGGCGCCGGGCTCGCCCCTCGGCCGGGTCCTCGGCGCGCACCCCCGGCTTGTGGTCAGCGCCAGGCTGCAGAGCGGAGCTGGAGTGGAACAGGACCCCGCTGAGCAGCTTGGAGGAGTCGGGCAGAAAAAAGATCGCCCCGAAGCAAAGCGTGATGAAGGCGCTGAACACTAGCAGGAGCACGAACTTCTCCGTCAGGCGGAAGGCGGCGGGGCCCGACCCCTTCCTGCCGCCGCCGCTGCCGCCGAGCCCCCCGCCCAGGCCGCCGCCCGCGGGGTTGCTGAAGAGCGGCAACAGGCCCCCCACGGGCATCGCTCCCGTCGCCGCGGCCGCGGGGTGGCCGGCTGTCCAGTGGCCCCGCGCCGCGCCGCTCAGCTGCCAAACTTCCCCGCCGCCGGGCGTCAGCGGCTGCGGGTCAGAATCTCGCGCATCCAGGCCGTCCAGACCCTGCAACTGGGCTGCAGGTCCCCCCAGGGGAAGCGAGCCCCCTCTGGATCTCCTCCCAGGGGCGACTCCGTGGGCAAGCAGGCACGCGCGGCAGGCCACTGGCTGCAGCCCCTGCGGAAAGAGAAATCAGCAAAACGTAGTAATTACGATGCTCAGGATAAAGTTTCCAGCGGGTTTCCGCCCGCCGACAGCCACAGGGACCGCCGGGACCGCTCCCCGACTCAGCACCCCAAGTCCAGCTGCGGGCACCGCCCTCCGAACCCACTCTCTGGAGTTGGGGCGAAGTTTTTGGGTCCCCAAAGGGGCGGGATGTCCGGCGCACACCTGGGACAGGGCCGCGCGCGGTCACCTCCTGGAGTGGGCAGCGCAGCGCTGGGCACCTGGGTGCAGCGTTGCTCGGGGGGCTGGTCAACTTCGCCCGCTGCCCACGTCGGAGCTGGGACCGGCTGACTGTCCTCCCCGGGCGGCGGCGGAGCGCGCGGCGCCGCCTCCTCGCAGCTCAGGTGGGCGGTGCGCGGGCGAGCAAGCGGCACGGTGCCCTCCGCCGCGGCCCCGCCGGCACGAGTGCCACTGCCGGGCTCCCCGCGGTCGGAAACGAGGGCGGTGACGCGGCCGGAGAGTGACGGCGCGGTCAGGCCAATCACAGGCCGCCCAGGGGCACGCGGGGGCGGTGCCGAGGCGGGGAGGGGGCCGCGCGGGGCGGGGAGTTGACGGGAAGCGTAGCCTCGCGGGGGCCCGGCCTGGGGCGGAGAGGCTGCGGGGAGCAGGCTAGCTGGCGGCCCTGGCAGGAGGGCGGTGAGGGCAGCGAGCGAATCCTCGCTCCCGGGTCCCTGGAGTGGTTGGTGCCCCAGTGCCCGGGAGGCGCCCGGCTGGTGCGGACCTCTGGCCTCGGGCTTTTGGACCTTCGCTGGGGTCCCTGGGTTTCCCCCGAGTCTTGCTGAAGCCAGTCTTTGCTACTGTCACCAGTAAAGCCCGCTAGACCCAGAAGCAGGTAAAACAGAAGTCCCCACCCGGCTTAGAAGAACCTTGATCTGGAGAGCTTTGGAGCTCTGGTCTGGCTGTCATCCTTTCAATATAACTTTTCATATCAGCTTCTCTACGATGTTCCGACAAAAATATAAAGTTGTGTACTTCCCCCTACATACACAGACGTATTAAAAATTAATTTTACAGACACACACATTAAAAATTCATTTACCTCATAGAAGCTGGTTAAATTTTCCATTGAAAGAAGAGAGTCTTAACGCTGCTGTAGCTTTGGAGCAATAAATTGAATGCTCCGTTGAAAGTAAGCTTTGCATATGACTACCCCCAGCGAAGTAAGAAGTCAGTGCAATAAGATTGTTCCCAAAACAGCATTATTCCAAAACGTGTTCACAATTCTCCTGTTGCTCCGCAAATGACAGATTATCTAAAAGAAAAATACTGACTCACTTCTCATTTCCAAAAGCTCATTTATAAGAGTCTTACCTACCCTCACCCACTCCTAAAATGTGACTTTTGGTCTTTCTACTTTTAAAAACAAAGCAAACAAACTGGCATCTTTCAGAAAGCTCCTCACAATGCCGTTGTTTATAGACTGTACAAGAAAGCTGAAAACTAAGAAACTCTTGCATAGTTTTCATCTTACTCATTTTAATCATTATTAATTGCACACTTGTTTTGGGTAGATGGCATCATACATTCAAGATTCCTGTTAATAGGAAATTACTGATTGATAAAGACAACTTTGTGGCTTTTATTATTTTAATACCTGCTATGAAATCCTATGTCCAGAAGAGTGCAGTATATGCAAGCAGGGTAATAAAGTTTAGGCCTGGGGGGGGGGGCATACATAAACATATATGTTTGTGTGTATATGTGTATATACACATTCAGGTATTTTTAAAGTGCCGTATATATACTAATTTGTAGAGTGGAGGTAGGTTGAAAAGTTTAAATCATTGTAAAATACTGTTTTCAACAAAGTTTTCAAATGGAGTTAACTCAGGAATATCTATGTCTATCTATCTAATAATTGCCATTAATTATCATAAAAACCAGTCTCTTCATATTCAGTTCAGTCATATTTTGAAGAATGAACTATTATTTTAACAACTATGTTTTGAAAATAGTATTATATCCTATAGCCACAAAACTATTTTAAATGTTTTAAAACTTGAATTTACTGATAGTCAGTATTCCAGGAAATGAATGAGTACATGGTAAAATGGTGAAGGAAAGATGCACAGTTATAGCCGACTTCTATTTCTGGCACGCTTCAGTTTTGATATGCATGCTAATTTCAGAATTGAGTATCACCACCTGTAATGGCAAGATTCAAAGTTTAGCAAAAGGATTTTTGTTTTATATTTCCAGAAACATTAAGTTTGATTTATTTGCATTGTGTTTAAATCTTTCAGATGGCAACTTTGTTTTAGTTCATCCTTATGTTGCTCATTGTAATAATTTCTAAAGAATCAATGTTTCTTTTAAGGAAGAGGTTGACTATGGTTGAAACCTGGCTTTAATAATCTGTTAAGTGAAAAATTAACACAGATGATTGATTACATGGTACCTACACACACATTTTGGGATTGTCATAGTCAGAATTGACTCAAATAGTAACTGGTAAAAAGGTAAAAATCAAAAGAAACAAGTCTATGTTCCTTAGAGTCAAGGATGATGAGACCTTGACTTGCGTGCTTTGAGCAGGTGGCCAGGAGGGAGGGACAGATCCTTAGAAAAGGTCATCATGCTTGGAAGAGTTGAGGATCATTGAAAAAGAGAAAGACCCTCAATAAAATGGATTGACACAGTGACTACACCAGTGTAAGGACAGTAGAGATTGTGAATGAAGGTGGCACAGAATTGGATGTGGTTTGGACATGCTGTGCAGAGGGTTTCTAAGAGTTAGAATTGACTTGACAACACCTAATAGTTGTCTATGCTAGATAAAATGAAAAAAATATGAGCATCTTCATAGTTACATGTCCTGGAGAAAGTGCAGCCAGAGTGCTCTTTGGAGGCGAAGACGATGAAGCTTCACCCCACATACTTTGGGCATGTTGCTAGGAGAGAGTCAGAAAAAGAGAGGAAGACCCTCCGCCAGGTGGACTGACGCAGTGACTGCAGCAATGGGCTCTAATGTGCCCGGAAGTGTGAGGATGGCACAGGATAGGACAAAGTTCAGATATGTTATTCACAGGGTCGCTATGGATGGTACTTGACTTGATGGCACCAAGCAATAACAACAACAATATATTCAAGCTAGAGAAAGAAGCAGGGGGAGGAGGAAGAGGCAACAGGCATACCAAACAAATTAACCTTACAAAACCTCCTTTGCCGTTTCAGATAAAGAGACATATAAAGGTCACCAAGACTGGTATTATGTTTCCTCAAAATAAAACTTGTGGAACTATTACCTCTGATGGTACAGTGGTTAGAGAGTTGTGCTGCTGCTTCAAAGGCAGGTAAATTGAATTCACCAACTGCTCTGAGGGAGAAAGATGAGAATTCTCTTCTTGTGTAATTTATAGCTATGACTCGTTCTAGTTTAAGAACAATGAGTTCGAGGTTTTTTATTAACCAGAAGTCTGGACTGTGCAATCATATCTACTTGAAGATATGCCATGATCTTTGTGAATTATCATAACAAACTATTTATTCATTATGAGTAATCCAACATAAATAAGATTCATCAGTGACACGAGTTATGCAAACAATTCAATTGTGCTTTCTGAATGTAAAGAGGACTGGAAGCACTTACTGTAGAGGATCAATGACTACAGCATCAACATAACAAAGATTTTAACCACTGGACCCATAGGCAACATTGTGTTAGATGGAGAAAAGATTGAAGTTGTTGACAATTTCCTTTTACTTGAAACTACAATCAACACCCAGAGTATTAGCAGTCAAAAAAATCAGAAGAAAAAGGAAAAAAAACCCACCCGAAAAAACCAACCCCACCAAAAATGAAAAGAAATCAGAAGACATGTTACATTGGGGAAATCTGCTGTCAAGTACCTCTCTAAAGTGCTAATGAGCAGGGACACCAGGTTAAGGACTAAGGTGCTCCTGATTCAAGCCATGGTCTTTTCAGTTACTTCTATGCATCTGAAAGTCGGATAATGTATAAGGAGGACAAAAGAAAAATTGATGCCTTTGGGCTGAGATATTGAAGAAGAGTACTGAAAATCCTAGAGACTGCCAAAAGAATCAGCTCTGTCTTGGAGGAACTTCAATCCTGATGCTCCCTAGAGGCAAAGATGGTGAAACTTCATCTCACATATTTTGAATATGTTGTTAAAAGGAACTGATCTCTGAAGAAAGACATCATCCTGGGAAAAGTGGTCAGAAAAAGAGAGAAAGACTCCTAACAAGATAGATCTCTACAAGGACTATAGCAATGCTCTAGCAAATCTGTAATCATGAGAATGGAACAGGATAGGGCAAGGTTCAGATCTTTTTTTCAAAGGGTCACTATGAGTTGTTGTTGAGATGATGACACCTATCAATAATGTCAACAATATAAATAAATTTAGCAACTTCAATAATTCTGTGAATTTTCCCTTTAAATTCTTAATTATGTTTTTTTTTTTGTTTTTTTCAACTTGACCAGCCAGTCCTTCTGAAGGATGACTCTTTTGGATGTTTGCAAATTTCCTTGCAAACTTGATTCTTAATACCTTTTTCTAACGATTCTGTCTTTGTAGTTTCTTTAGCAATTGGTAAGTTTTTGTCTTTTAAAATAAAAATTAGGAAATAAGGATTTTTTGTGTTTATTTATTTATTTATTTATTTATTTATTTATTTTTAGCTAATAGTTTTAAAAACCTGAGTAGTCATGGATTCCCAAAGAAGTGACAGAGATTCACAATTTAGTTGGGTGGTTTTATTTTTCTGTTTTTAAAATAGCACATAATAACAAAATACCTATTTATGAAAATGTCTGTAATGAAATATAATATTGTAAATTGAGTTACAGAGAAGAAAATTGGCAATAGTTATTTAAAATATAATATTTTTTGAAAAGTCAAAAGTTTTAAAAAAGTGTAAAATTGCGTTTCTTATAAGTAGGAAATTTTAAGACAGTACTAATTAGAAATGTACAGAAAAATTCTTTTGAGAAATCTTTTCTTTTTAAAAAGTAATGTAATAAAAGTGTTTCATCTATATGTATAGAAATAAACTATCAGAACTCTCCAGCAAAAGAAAATCTGTATAGATAATCTTTCTTGCTTATGTTGAGTAGAGCTGACTCAAAGCTGACCCACTTTTGGGTTTCCAAAGCTGTAAATTTCACAGAACAAGATTGCCCATCAATTTCCTGAGGGACCTATGGTGGATTTGAACCAGCAGAGAGATGTAGCCTCTGGGTTAGCAGCACAGCTCTCTATTGATTAGGCAACCAGTGCTTCCTTAGTGGGGATTAGACATATAAAAAATTGGATGAAGGGAAAAGTTATAGAAAATAAGAGATGATTAGCGTAATATCACTAAAGAAAAGGTGCCCACAGAGTTTAACAAGGTTTATACACAACAATGTTCTTTTATATACATTACCCATAATAGCAAACATGGATATGTAAGCAGACAAAAGACAAACAAATCTGAGTGAGCTAAAAAGAACTATATCCATGATCATACATCAATATTTTGTTGTTGTAATATGCCCTCGCGTTGACTACAACTCACATAGCTTTGAACCCTGCCTTATCCTGCCTTACCAAATTTCACTCTCTCTGATACACCTGTTCACATTACCACAGTGTGACAGGTGATATTTCAACATGAATATTTACATATCTTCAAATATGTTCATATGTAGGGTAGAGCAGCATGGGCAATAGCATGTAACCTCTTTACCATAACCAAATGCCTGAGGGAATTGAGTCCCTGGGCAGAGGCTAATCAACAATATTGTTCACAAGAGCAGTATTCTGTACTCTACATCGGTGCATAGCAACTAAGGACTTATAAGATTGTGGATAGCCACCCATTGTGTAACTGTTGGTCTCTCTCAGTCTGGAGCAAAGAAGAGTGGGGGGGGAAATAACGTGGAAACAATTAGGCCATAGCACTAACAGACTGTGCAAACACCAATTCTACTACCTCAAAAACAGAAGAACTCAGTGGTGCCTATTTACTACTTGTGGTTGTTAAGTGTCGTTGAGTCATTGACTATTCATAACAACCCTATGAATGAAAGACCTGAACACTTGTATAACTTTCATTGTTTCTCCAAGTTCATAGAGTTCTGAGAAGCAAGCTGTTTCAGAAGTGGAGGTCACTCCTGCTTCCAAGCTTGTTTTAATTGGGGAGCTCCACCAAACACTGTCCACCATCCATTATCACATTTGCTGCATCAGTGTCACAGTGTTTCGCATCATAGCAACTATGAGCTATCTCTGTACAGCAAATGGACAGTCTAGTGCTATACCACTTAGAAGAATATTTGACCAAAAACAATTAAAACCAGGCCTGAGGGCCACAGATTAAAATTACTCACATTTAGCTTGGTAGGATCACTTTCTGTCGACAGGGCAACAGAGCTCTAGCTATATTGCTATTGTTGTTGTTAAGTGCCGTGGAGTCATAGATGACTCATAGTGACCCTATCAATGAAAGTCTTGAACACTTGTAGAGCTTTCATTGTTTCTCCAAGTCCGTATTTCATATAATGAAAGTATATATGAATGGTTAAACGAAATACCAGTCTGGTTGGTAAATTTCCACTCAAATCACAAATCACTAGTTTTTAAAAATTCTCCAACAATTTTCAAATTTCTGAAAAGGTTTCCTTGAAGCAGATTTTCTAATTATGTTCAAATTCTGAGTCCAAATGGGGTTTTTATTTTTATTTAAAAATTCAAATGTAATATCCAAAGAAAGCAAAAAGCTCATTATGAACATTAATCTTGAAATTTCAAAGTTTCAGTGGGAAATCTGAATTTTATATGGCATATATTAAGATGGGCTTTAACTACAGTTTTAAAAGACATTATCATGATATTTCTGTTCAGAGGGAAGTCTGAAAACTCCGTTTTTGCTACTTCCCGATTTACTTTGGAACTAAGTAGCAGATTATTTTCACAAAACTCCTATCACCATGTTTTCATAGGGTCAAAAGCAGGGGTGCAGAGGCTAAATTAACAAGTCCCCTCTATCCCTGAAAGCTCTGCTGAAAGATCTGTTTTTGTTTTGAACACTTATTTTGTAAATATTAACAGTTCCTAACTTTAAAACATGTGTTCCACAACATATTTGTGAATTGACGTTTTGTAACTTTTAGAACATTTCTCTTCATAGAAAACAAGTTGTATATGTGTTTAAGGTTGCCAACCTGCCGTAGGAAGATCTAAAACCCCAGGGAGAAATGAAATGTTGGAAAAAATATTTTGCAATGCTAGTCATTGAAGTAGGATTAAATTAGAAAATGTTTTAAGGGAGCTCTGGTGGCCTAGTGGCAAGATGCTGCACTGCAATCCCAGAGGTATGCAGTTCAAATCCACCAGATACTCTGTTGGAGAAGGAGGGGGCAATCTCCTCCTGTACCAGTCAGATCTGATTCGATGGTACGCGTAAAAAAATAATACAATAAAAATAGAAAATGTTTTATTTATCTTGAATGTTAGAGCTTTAGGAAAAACAGATTTATTAGGAAGAACAGGAAGAGATAAACACTAGTTATAGAAAGATTCTAGATAACCTTTCAAGGTCCAAATGATTTATGGGAGTTCTGAATTATAGCTTCCTTTCTGGTAAAGCTTTCTTTGTTTGATAAAAGTGTGTCACTAGTACTCCCATTGTAGTGCTTTTGGGTTTGCTTTGTTGTGAGTTCACTAACAAAAGGAGTGAAAAAAGATAACATGGGGAGAGGACATCCTAAAATAATGGAACAGGTTTCTAGTGGAGAGAGGAAATTCTTATGAGGGATGTGCATGTCTAGGCTGTGTGACTACAGACAATAAGTTACTTAAGTTTTCTCACAGTCTTCACCTGTAACATAACAGTCCCTCTTGGTTAAATATTATAATTGATGTGTCTATCTCAATGTTGTTGTTTATGTTGTTGATTGCCCTTGAGTCAAGCACGACTCCTAGCGACCCCATGAACAAGAGGCCTGAAGCCCCTCTACAACTTTTGACATTTATCAAAGTTCAGAGTTTCTGGAGGCATGTTATTTAGGAAGTAGATGCCACTTCAATAGACATTTAAAAAACAATTCAATTTCTCTCCTTCCCTGAGCAAGAATTAATGACTTAAGTGGTGAAAGGCAGAAATAAAAATATTTTCTAATTTATCTCATGTTATTATAATGGAAATACCACAAGTGAATAATTTTAACAAACAGATTTTGTTTTTTTTAAACCCATTTTGGAGGGTCAACCCAACTCAAGCCAGTGTCATTGAATCTGTTCTCTTCTTATAGCGAACCAAAATTGAGCTTCCAAGGCAGCAAATCCCCCTCACTTCCCCAATAAATTGGTTTAATTCCTAGTGGTACAGAATTCTGGGCATAACAAAGAATAAAAAACAGATTCTGACAGGATTCTGGATTGCATTTACTTTGACTATGCAGCTTAGATCAGAATGGCAGAGTGAAGGGTTTCTTTTTCTTCATGATTTTACAGAAGTTCGTTCTTAAATGTATAATAGGCTATAAGACAACACTTCATTTTAACTACAGGTGGCAACAGATGTAATAGCAGAGAATCCAGATGTTTTATAAAGGAATGAAGATGAGGTTCATCATTGTCTCAGTGACAAAGAACAGCTTATTTTTTGCTAGATTTCTTAATCCCACCCATGGCCAGGGGGCTTTGCCTATGGCCTTCACTTTTAGCTCCTTGATTTCTTCTGTTCATTTGTTTCTGCTTCAAACCTTATTTCCTTGACCATTTCCTTGGTCTACTTCTTGGGCTGTTTCAGGGGCTTCTTCTTGCCGCCTTTGCAGCCAGACATGGTGCTGGCCATTCCTTCCCCAGACCTGCCACCAAAGCAGTAAATATTAACAGAAGGATAAGGGAAGCCGAATATCAAATTTAATAATAGTAGACCAAATGCTGTATCGGGAAATGAGGGAAGCTTAATACAAGCTGAAGGTCACCTTGTGGCACTGGGGCGTTCCCTAGGAGTCAACATTGTTCTTCGTTTGTGTCAAATGACCTGGCCTTATCTGTAAAAGACTTCACCATTATCCTTTGTTTTTGTTTTGTACTTCCTTGTGATTTTACTTTGTTTACCTTCCTTATGATTCTAAATACTCAGAGAAGCATGGCTTGGGGCCTTCAGTCATGGGAACTGTTGGCCCCCTGTTTTTCACACTCTCTGTTTCACACACTTTACCATTCGTGGTAGTCTGTCTCATTATTAATAATTATAATATTATTTCATTCTTTGGGACCCTCAGTCTGCAACAGAAGGAGACTACCTATCTTTAGCACTGAGAGGTTTTAGTGAATTTGAACCACTTAAAACATATAGCCTTTGGTTAGCAGTGAGATATAAGGGTACATCCTTATTCTTCTTTTGCCATCTGTGGACCTGGCACTACTCGCAGAGCTCAGTGTATATTGATATCAGTCTTCAAGTGGTTCTAGGAGACTCTCAATGGAGAGATGAACACAAGGACCTTCATAAGTCTTCTTTCTTGGTAGTAGTGAGGTCCCTTTTCTCTTTTCTTCCTTCACATTCCTTTTAAGACATGTATGCTAAGAGATGTCTGGAGCAAGGGTCTGACTTGACTTAAGAAGGTAGCATGAGTCACATCCTCTTGTGACTCAAGATACAGCCTGCCACTGATCTCAACAAATTAACATGTGTTATTATGTGCTATTGAATCAGCACTGACACAGAGTTGATTCTCCATCACATTTTCAGAGGCTGTAAAATGTACAGGAGGAGATTTCCCATCTTTCTCCCATCTAGTAGCTGGTGAATTCAAAGTCTTTAAATTGACAGCACAACTCTTTAAGACCAAGCCAGTAGAGCTCCTTCATTAACGTATAGAGGATAAGAAATACAGAATATCACAAAATAGATGGTAGTTACATCAAAACACAAAATGGAAGACAACCACATACTACAGGAAACCGTAGCCTTACCATGTTGACAATTATATTTTGATGAGATAAAGTTCAATTCATAATAAGCAGCTGTAGATTCTTTATAAGGAAATTTAAAAAGGAAAAAATAATGGCTTATGAGGCTCTTGGGGTAGTTGTCACTTTAGCTACTGTCCTGTTTCAGTAGTATCAAGTGGAGAGTAGTGGGTGAGCAGATGGCAACTGGTTTGATAGAAGAAGGGCCCTCAATGCTTTTCCATTCTTTTTATAAATATAATCAATGTATTTACCAGCTAGCTGACTTTATAGTGCCCCAAACCTTAAGAAAATGTGAGTGATGGCAAAGTCTCAAAGTGAAGAGAATGATATCATGGCTCATTGCTTGACAAATCAGAACGCCAAGGGCTCATGGCAGAAAGGCTGAGCAGATAATGCTAGCAAAGGCCTTTAGGGGCCTAGATATAGAAAATGTTTACATATATGACTTGAAGAAAATTCAGTATTTCAACTGAGCAAAAAGAAGAAAGGCTTCTTTCCATGGCCAGAGAAAGATATAAAATATTCCTTTTTCCTTTTTTTAGTACTTAGTAGATTACTTTTACAAATATATAACCAGGTTTGTTTTCTGTTTTCTTTTTTTAAAGCACATCATTGTTTGTTGTTCCCCCCTCCATTCTCTGTTCATAAAAAGATCATATACTTTTCCAGAAAAATCTAAACAAACTCAGAAAAAAAAAAAAGCAAACCAAGAACTATGGTCTGTTGCTCTGCCCAACTGAAAAAAAAAATTTTTTTTCCAAGAAATAAAGTGAAATGAAACCACATGTGTTTGTTCCTATTTTGGAGAAAGTATCTACATCTATGACACAACTGCATTTTATTTCCCAAATTCATTGCAAAATAAATGTGCTGTCCGCACATGTTTAGTCATTCATATTGTCCTTCAGGACAGAACTTTGTCTTAGTTCACGTAACTGTAAATGGCTAGGAATTAACTGTGGCTCTTTGTTTACTTTTTAAGATTTATTTGGAAGATTCTTTTGGAATGGGTTGGTTTCGACGCTATGGTACACAACAATAACATATTAATTACATATATAATTCTGTGTAGTTGTGTGTGTGTGTACACACACACATACATTTACATAAATGACTACACAGAATATATATGTAATTAGTACTGCTCTGGACTATAGAAATGAATGAAACATACTGACATTACTGTAAGAAAAGAAAAGCAAGAATTCTGAACCAGCAATCATATAGTTATTTATATTTAAATATTGCAGGATCTTAAGAAGGCTCTCTATAAATCTCCTGGTTTAAAATATATTGAATTCGAAATACTAAATCTGAGAACATTTGGTGCAGGCAGCTGTGTAGCCAGCTGACTGGAAGAGATTCATATTGATTCTCATTCCCAGGAAAGATGCTCCATCAGAAAGTAGAAATTATGGAACAGCATCATTAATATCACATACAAGTAAAATACTGCTGAAGATCATGAAAATGGCTGGAACAGTACATAGACAAAGAATTGCCGGAGGTTCAGGCTGAGTTTAGAAGAAGCCATGGGACCAGGGATATCGATCTTTATGAGAGGAGACTGTCCACTCTTCTTCCTTGGGGGAACAGATCCAAACACAAAACTTTTGAGACAGAAATATGGGAAGATACAGAAAGAATGAAACTTAAAATTCCCAGTTTTTTGTTATCAGTTGTGTACCATCGAGTCAGAGCCAACCCACAGCCTACCCTCAGCAGGTTTTCAGAGGCAGTTAATTACACAGGAGGAGACTGCCCATCCTTCTCCCTCAGAGCAGTTGGTGGATTCGAACTGTGTGCATAGGAGATTGCAGTGAAGTTTCTTACCATGAGGCCACCAGTGGCAGCATATGTAAAGGAAAAGAATGTAAGTACTTAGAAGGCTGAAATAATAACTGAACAAAGAAAAAACCAAAACCAACTGAACAAAGTTCTACCAGGGCAGAGTTACTTCCCTTGATCTCAGGCTCCCTCGGGAAGGGAAAAACATGTGGCAGTAACTACCAATATCTCTTCTACCTGTGATCACAAAAAAAAAAAAAGTAGTTTGGGAATCAGATGGTCAAGATCAAGAAATTATTTTAACCAGGGGATATGGCATAGAGGCAATACATAAGTTTGTAGATTATTATTGGCAGTTTTCCAAGGAACTATTATCAAAATGGATTGCAATGTGATGAATTTAGCGGCAGCATGTGTGTTTTCTTATGCTGAAAAATGGAGGAACATGTATGGTTTAATGTTAGACCCACAATTATCTGTACAACAGAGACTAATACCATTGGCAAATACAGTCACATGATGGGTTACCCCAGAGGGCTGATTATTAACTTGACAGAGTGGATTAAAGGTGTGATTAGGCTTGTTTAACCCTCCAGCAGAAACGGCCCCTCTCATCATCATCTAAGTAACAATTGGAATGCTCCAGATGAAGCAGTTGATCCACTTTATATATAAGTGATGTTGGAGTGGCTTTATGGACTGAGGACATTCATCCAGTAAATGTGTCCCTTACAAAGGCCATGGCGGAGATAATTCCAGGGGCTCCCCCAACATGGCAATCTCAGGTAGCTTTGCTACTGAAAAACAAGACAACAATTGAAAAAGCTGAAGAACCTATGTGCACACTATGAAAAAACTTCCCCTTATGGGCTTTAAAGAATATCAGAGTGATTCATGGGCAAGCAGGAGGACACTATGAGGAAAAGAGTTAGTTACCCTAGTATGATGGAGATTTTTGGATGGTCACTCAGGAAAGAGAGGAATGTAGCAGGCATTGATGGAGTTCAGACAAAGGTTCTAAGGCAGCACTACAGGAGGTTGGGAGGACCTGTGAATGCACCCTGTTTCCCCCAACATCAAGAAAGCCTAAACAAGTCTGTTCTATTCATCCCACTCATGAGGTAATTAATGATGAGGGAACCTATTCAGAATCACTTGAAGCAGAAGCAGCTCAGCTAGTTGATCAAGACATGGACTGATAAGAAGACCAGGTCTTTTGGTTCACCCCCCCAGTAGGAGATCTAAGGCCATAAGCATATGTGTGAGTAAAATGGCCTGGAAGTGGAGAAGAAACATTCTTTGTACTGTAATTCCCAAACCTATGGATAAAATCTTAAATCCTAAAGTTATATTAAGAAGATATGGAAATGCAGCAATTAATGGGACTAGAGTGAAAGTCTGGATTAGAATTGGAAAATATAAACAAATGTTGTATGAAATAGTTGCATCTCCTTTACCTGAAGATATTATTGGTATGAATATTATGTCTAATTGGGGAACACTCCCTCTACGGATATTGTAATACTGAGGCCTTATAAGTCTGTCCTAAGGCCAGTGTTGATAGGGTATGCTGAATGGGGACCATTAGAACTGCCTGAGTCAACTGAGGTGGTTAATTTGAAGCCATACAAGATTCCTGGTAGACAAAAGGAGGTAACTGCCTTGATGGTGGAGGGGACCTGGGGGAGGGTTTGTAAAACAA